AATGAGGCGTATTAAAGCAGGAGCCTGGAGGACCAGGTTAGGAAACACTGAAACATCTGATCCCTGAGAAGCTGCTGGTTCTCCACCTGGATCCGCCCAGAACTTGGACGAGTTCGGCTCACGTTCAGATCTAATCAGCTCATCATAGAGCCATAAACCTTCATATCAGCTGCAGGTCATGTGGTGGCAGCGTAAAGCAGAGCGCCGGCGAATCAAAGCAGCTCTGATGTCTCTGATCTGCTGCTCAGGAGGATTCAGACGAGATAAGCAGCTTTACAGAGGAGAAACAGATTTCCCTCAGGGAAACGGGGCATCAACGGGTTCTCCTGCTGGTCAGAGAGAACCTGCAGCTCCTCTCTGGTTCCAGAAAAACGGCTGAGAGGGCAGAAAAAAGCTGTAGAGCAGTTCATTTAGCTCAGACACTGAGGAAGGAAACAGCAGGCTGCAGTTCAGCTGATGGGCTCAGGCTGGAGAAACAGTTCCTGCTATGGTTGGGTCTGGTGTAGTTCCTGCTGTGTTTGGGTCTGGTGTAGTTCCTGCTGTGTTTGGTTGGGTCTGGTGTAGTTCCTGGCAGCATGCAGGAATCTGATTGGCCGCCGTCTTAAATCTCTGAGCCGCCACAACAACGAGGAGCACGACTGGAACGTTTCCCTAGAAGCTGCTGCCTCCAGTCTGAACAGCTGATGACTGCAGTGGTTGAACTGGGCCGACCAGTTCAGCTGCTGGGAGCTGCAGCGGTGTGTGTGTGTGTGTGTGTGTGTGGATGCCTGGGGGATGAAGTCAGCGCTGGGTCTGCTTGCTCACCTAAACACACTCACAATGAGGCCGGTATCTGCGTCCACCATCTTGTCTGTGTTCCTGCTGTGGGCCGTGTTGACAGAGCAAACACGCTCTGTGGACGGACCGTTAGCGCTGCTAGCACCATTAGCGCAGTTAGCGGTGCTAATGCAGTTAGCGCTGTGTCAGCAGAAACATCTCCAGAGGGAATTTTGCTCCGGCGTTCCGGGAATCTGATCCCAGATCCGCTCTCTGCTCTGGTTTCTGAAGCGCCAACATTGGGTGCAACAGAGATAAATGTCCTGCTGAAACACACAGAGAAAGTATTCACACCCTGCAGACTTGTTGCCTCAGTGCTTCAGATCAAACTGACCTCAACTCAAAGTGAAGATAAAAACAGACAGCAGATATTTCGGGCATTAATTAACCAACCTGGTCAGTGTTTATGATTACTGATAATGAATCTGTGGAGGATTATTGATCTGACAGTTTATCAACGTGATTTAACCATTGATCAGAGGATTAAACTGTTCTGCTGGAAAGCTTCTTCTGGTCCGAATGCAACAGATTCATCTGTAATAATTAAACATATACAACAGACAGCAACAGTTTATTTATTAATATGTTTAATTTAGTTATCTATATATTTATTCTATAGGAAGTTATAACCAAAGTGTGAATAAAAGTACAAGAGCAAGTAATCAGGCACAGAAAAATAAATATCTGTAATGTTTCCCCTGACCTGTGCGTGTCGCTCTGTAAACACCAAACTGAAACTTTTATATCCAGTTTTTGGTAGAAAAAGAAAAATTATAAATCATGCAAATGGGAATTATTGAGTTTGTTTTAATTTATTGTGTAAATTATTATTTATTGTGACAGGCCTAGTGCTGATTGAAACATCCGAGCCTGTGTGTGTGTGTGTGTGTGTGTGTGTGTGTGTGTGTGTGTGTGTGTGTGTGTTTTCTCAGGTCTCTTCCAGAGAAACCCACTTCCTATCCAAACTGACTGTTACCATAGCAACACATCACTCAGTCTGCTACCGTGGAAATGAAATCAAAAGTAGAAGAAATTAAATTTGCCCCAAGAATGTAGATCTACCAGATTACAGAGATCTGACTGCAGCAACCAGCAGCAACTCTGCTTCTGCTCACCATCAGATGGCTCAACTGTTGGTCAGAGGAACTGATGATTAGAGACGACCGACCAGCTGGTTGCTGCTGCTGGTTGCTGGTTGCTGCTGCTGGTTGCTGCTGCTGGTTGTTGCTGCTGCTGGTTGTTGCTGCTGCTGGTTGCTGCTGCTGGTTGCTGCTGCTGGTTGCTGGTTGTTGCTGCTGCTGGTTGCTGGTTGCTGCTGCTGGTTGCTCCATCTGGGCCGACCAGCTGCTTCATTTGGACATGTTTGCATGCTGGGTATGTTGCTCTCCTCTGTCACTGCAGCTGTAATCAGAGACAATCATTTTATATGGACTCTATGTTACCATGGTGATGAACTCAGACACACTGGCTGCTCCACTCAGTGTTTCCTGCTCCACTCTGTGTTTCCTGCTCCACTCTGTGTTTTCTGGTACAAACCACTTTGTTTCTGCTGAATAAGCACCATTTTGTTTCCTTAATTAATAATTTTTAGTAATTATCAATATTTACTTGTTGTTTTTAACGTGTTCAGCAGTTTGGAGATCAGAATTGTTGTCTGAGTGAAACCAACAGATTTACTTTCATAAGTGAAGCGTTACAGCTTCACCATGATGCTTCACTTGATCAATATATGAAACTTTATTAGAAAAGCTTCCAGATGTAATGGCGACAGACAGAAAGAGAGAAAAGTAGGAAAAGGTTTAAAGGAACAGAAACACCCTTTAATCTGCTGCTACAGAAAAAACTAAAGTCTTTGATTATTCATGCAGCAGCAGGGCTGACATCTCGTTATGATTAGCTGAGTTTCCATCATTTTTATGCTCATTTTGAAGTAATGAATTAGAAATGGTTGTATAAGTTTTTCCTCTGGCCTGAGGTGGATTTAGAGTCGACGCTCTAAAGAAGTAGACAGGAAAACGTTTGGTGAATAATTTCTGACGTAGCGAACGTTCCCATCCACTGCTGGCTCTGTGCCTTACCAGAGGAACCAAACTGAAACAATTTACAGTCCAGACCTGGAGGGGAGGACTCTCTGCTCCACATCAGTCTACAACCTTCACTTCCTGTTTATTCCAGCCTTACATAATGAGAACATCTGACAAAATGACACTGACCCACATTTTAAAAGTTTGCAAAATTAGCATGACATCTGGATGGAATCATAGCTTATTTATTTCCTGTTAAACAGTTCTTAGCATGCTACATTAGCGATTAGCATGACTAGCATCTCTAAAGCAACAGCCTATGAATGCCTAAGTCTCAGATTCCTAAAAGGTGTTAATGTAAACGCCCTAAAGAAGGGGAGATTTTTAATAAAGAGCCGGACACGGTGTTTCTGCTCCAGCGATTATTAATATCTCATTAACATACAAACATACATAACGTTATTAAAGTCGACACAGCAGTATGTTAGCAACGGTGCTAACAGTGGAGCTAACAAGGCTAATAACGAACTTTAACATTCAGAGCGTCCAAAAACAACTCATACTCTTTCTGACAGTTAACAAACAAACGTACAATATACAGGTGCGCATATATACATACTCATACCTAAAGAAGGGGAGATTTTTAATAAAGAGCCGGACACGGTGTTTCTGCTCCAGCGATTATTAATATCTAAGGAGGAAGTTCCGGTGCTCTTCACTATAGATAGCGCAAGCGCTAGACTCCCCCTGCTGGTTGAATCTGACCACGGCCTCAGCCAAATCAAACTAGTCAAGACTCTGAAATAACCAAATTTCAATCCAATTTCAATCCATCACATTAACGTTTCTAAATCCTGAGTTTTCCGTGACTGACAGGCTGAACGCTCAGAGTGAGTGACTTCCTGTTATCAGCTCAAATGTTCGCTCTCTCTCATAGCCTGAATGAACAGCATCAAACTCCAGTTTGAAAACCATCAGGGAGTGTTTCCAGGTCAGAGGTCATCAGGTTGGTCAGACTGGAAACCAGCTGATCCCACCAGTGAATGCTGGTTCTTCTCTAACAGAAACTCAGAACTGATCCAAAACAGGAGACATTCGATTAACAAAGATCAACCCAAAATTAAAAAGCTATAAAAAAATCCAAGTTCACCTTCTGAAAACGGATACAGCAGTTTAAAGGGACAGGACTCCAATTTTTACACCAGTAATCTAATTTTATTTTCTTTAACCAAGTTCAAACTATTCCAAACATAAAGAACAATAATCCTTAAGTTAGTGTGACTGTTTTTCATTTCTGCACATGCTCAGTTGGTGCTATTGAAGGCAGGAGTGTTTGTCATGTTAGCATTAGCATTCCAACACTAATGCTAAGTAGTCTGAAAGCTACTCTAAAGTGTAGAGTAGCTTTAGAGTTGGTTTTGTGTTTGGTTCAAAGAGAAGTGAAGGAGTGAGACATCTCCTGTTTAGAGGATCTCAGCACAGGCCAGTGTAACGCTCAGATTTATTATTCATCAGATTTATATTCATCAGAAAGGCCGTTTAAAGGGGAAGTCAAATGTTCCTCCAGAGCCGATCAATAATCAATATCAGAGCCGCCGCCGACAGGAGAACAGCTGGCTGCATGTCCAACGTCCTGAAGTGGACAGAGACACAGAGACACAAAGACAGAGAACCGAGGTGAAAGGAGACCAGGCGGTTTCCACGGCGACGCAACAGAGAGCAGGAATGTAAAGAAAGAAAAAATGGAAACATGGAGGAGGAGTTCAGGAGGAGGAATGAAGAAAACAGAGAGAGAGAGACAAAAAAAGAGAGAGAGAAAGGATCTGACAGGAAAAGAGGAGGAGAACAGAGGAAAAAGAGAGAAAAAACTGAGTTAGAAGAGGAACAAGGATGAAAGAGTCAAAGTCTGAACAGAAAAGAGAGAGATGGAAATATAACAGCTTAGTTTAGGAAGAAGGAAAACAAGATGAGGAGAAAATGAATGAAAGAGGTAAAGAAAAGGAAAGAATGTGGGAGGAGGAAAAGTTCAGCCTGGAAAAATAGGAGGAGAGAAGAAGGAGGGCTGGAAACAGCCAGGGAGCACAGAGGAGAGAAGAAGAAGAAAGAAGGTCAAAGGTCAAAGGTCAGAACAAGCTGCTGACTCTGATTGGCTGTCTGCAGGAGGAGTGGGCGGAGCTAAACCATGGCGGGCGCCTCGGTGAAGGTGGCGGTGCGAGTCCGGCCGTTCAACTCCAGAGAGCTGGGACGCAACGCCAAGAGTGTGATCCAGATGCAGGGGAACAGCACCTGTAAGACACACACACACACACACACACACACTGTAACACACACACACACACACACTCTGTTCCTGGCCTTATTAGGTCTGTCCCACAGCTCCCAGTTGCTCCATCTGGACTGGAGATTAAATGAGTTTCAGTTAAAACCTGATCCGTTTGGATTCAATCTGAGCTTCCAGCCTTTAAAACACAACATTAATAATTAATGTAATTATTGACCAATAGCAGCTCACGTTTTAAACGATGCTCTGATGAAGTAACACTTCATCAGAGCATCGTTTAAAACGTGTTTGTACCTTTTACAGTGTTGGTTATAACTTTCTTCATGCTGGTCTTTAAATATTTCTTTATATTTCTAGTATGAAGCTGTTGGTTTGAGGCAGAAGAAAACATGAAATACGTTACTAATATAAATCTGAAAAGTGTGGTGTGAATATAAACTACATGCCTCATTACTATTCATACAGATTATATTCAGCTTCTTTGTTTCATGTTATTTTAAACATTAGTTTTAATACCATATTCTAATAAAGCTATGAACAAATTATTCTCATAAAATGCTCATTTTATCATAATGAACAGGTTTTTACTCTGAAAAAACATTATTTTATGTCTCATTTTATTCATTTGTTACATTGTATTCATGTTAATATATATTTAAAGACAAAACTGTGAATTGTAAAAAAATACTAATACAAATATATTAACCATAAATCCCACAAACTCCTCTGCTGTACCTCTTGACCCCTGAAAGGGTTTAACATGCCTCTGATATCTCTAATAAATGTAAAAACTATTGATTATTAGCTTATGATGAAGAGTGAATACTGACTCAGTTAGCTGCAGGCTAACATTTCCCATTGATTCCAATGAGGAATGCTAGCAGGTTGACACAAACCTTAGCAGACTCAGGTCGTCATGTGACCTCCTGACCTGCTGCTGATAAACCGACGCTCTCAGTGGATATTAATATACGACACTGCAGCGGGTTGTTTTTAGGCCCCATCACACACACACACACACACACACAGAGCTGCTCATCTGTTCTGGGAATGCTGGCTGCTCCACCTGCAGGTCAGCAGCTGTAGGGTGTGACGCTCCGGCTAACTCTGGCTAGCTCTAAGTACTGCTACCATCTGGTTAACTACGGCCAACCCTAACTAACCCTGACTAACCCTAACTAACCCTGACTAGTTCTGACTAACCCTAACTAACCCTGACTAGTTCTGACCGTGTGTCAGACCAGTCGGACGTCCTCATCCTGAAAGTCTCTGACCTCCTGTCTTCATGTTCTCTCTGCTTCCAGGCATCTCTAACCCCAAACAGCCCAAAGATGGAGCCAAGACCTTCACATTCGACTATTCCTACTGGTCACACACCACGGTAACAACACACACACACACACACACACACACACACACACTGAGCCCTGGCAGCAACAGCAGCTTGTGTTTGTGTTCCTGCAGCCTGAAGATGAGAACTTTGCGTCTCAGAAGCAGGTGTACAAGGACATCGGGGAGGAGATGCTGCTGCACGCCTTCGAAGGTGAGGCGTCTGATGTCAGCACATGCTCCTCCAGCGGGTTCTGTCGGGTCGGGTTGAGCGGTTCTGATCCGGTGTGGTTGGTCTCTTCCAGGATACAATGTGTGCATATTTGCTTACGGTCAGACCGGAGCGGGAAAAAGCTACACCATGATGGGAAAGCAGGAGCCGGGGCAGGAGGGGATCATCCCCCAGGTTGGTGTCCTCTGCATGTGTCCCAGAACCGGGTCCACTCTGTCTGAGCCCGATGTGTCTCTGCCCTCAGCTGTGTGAGGACCTGTTCCAGAGGACGGGTCAGAACTCGGACCCAGACCTGACCTACTCAGCAGAGGTAAACGCCGTCTCCGTCCCCTTCCCGCTCTCCCTGAACGGACTCTGACCGGTCCCACGCCTCGTCCCGCCTGCAGGTGTCCTACATGGAGATCTACTGTGAGCGGGTCCGGGATCTGCTCAACCCGACGTCACAGGGATCCCTGCGGGTCCGGGAGCATCCCATCCTGGGCCCGTACGTGGAGGACCTGTCCAAACTGGCCGTGACCGGATTCACCGACATCCGGGAGCTGATGGACGAAGGCAACAAAGCCCGGTCAGTCGGAGCGGGACCTCTGTGGGCCAGGACCTTCTGGACCCGGCTGGAACAGAGCCAGAGTTCAGTCAGACCGCGTCCGGGACGTCCAACAGGACGACAGAAACCAAATTAAAACCTGGTAGCTAGCTGAAGCATTAGCTGCCCTGAACGTAAACATTAGCTCTGCTAATGCTCTGCTACACCAACAGGCTATTTAGCTAAGGCTACAACAACATGGTGTTTAGTGAACGCTAATGCTAATACAATGTGGACTTTGACTGGACCATTGATGCACCTGGATTTTCCTCCCTCCAGTAGATTAGAAGTACAGTATCGATGTGTTTGGGTCACATCGACTGCCTGACAGCTGGTATGAAGTGTTTGTGCCGCTGTGCATTCTGGGTATTTTTACTCATTATAATTATCCTGCTATGACCTTTAACCTGCTAGCTAAAACCTGTAGAGTCTGAAACCAGAGTCTGTTTGGTTTCTGGTCATTTCTCTGAGCTTCAGGCTCTGATCTGGGATGCCGTCTACTGGGAGCACTGGGAATACTGGGAGCACTGGGAACACTGGGTACACTGGGAATACTGGGAAACTGGGAACACTGGGAATACTGGGAACACTAGGAGCACTGGGAATACTGGGAGCACTGGGAATACTGGGAACACTGGGAGCACTGGGAACACTGGGAGCACTGGGAATACTGGGAACACTGGGAGCACTGGGAACACTAGGAGCACTGGGAATACTGGGAACACTGGGAGCACTGGGAACACTGGGAGCACTGGGAGCACTGGGAACACTGGGAGCACTGGGAATACTGGGCATACTGCTCACCAGCTGGAATCTTTTCTACTGAGTTTATCCTTTAGATATGAAATTAGTTTTTCCATGACTGGCGATGAGCCTGAAATGCAGAAACAAATCAGCAGAAGATGATTTTCTCTCACTGATCGGCTCTGAAACCACCTGATTGATTATCAGTAATGCATTGATTACTGATTGCAGGACGGTCGCTGCCACCAACATGAACGAGACGTCGTCCAGGTCGCACGCCGTCTTCACCATCGTCTTCACCCAGAGGCGCAGAGACCAGATGACCAGCCTGGACACAGAGAAGGTGGGTTGGTCCAGTCTGGTCCGGTTGGTCCAGTCTGGTCCGGTTGGTCCGGTCCGGTTGGTCCAGTCCATCGGTCCTGTCGGGTCTGGTCCGCTCGCTCCGCTTCACCGCCTTCTGTCTCTGCAGGTCAGCAAGATCAGCCTGGTGGACCTGGCTGGCAGCGAGCGCGCAGACTCCTCGGGGGCAAAGGGCACCCGGCTCAAGGTCAGAGGTCACACGTGGGCCACAGCCGGTCTGTTTTTATCCCGGTTCGCTCATGTCTGCTGTGGTTTTCACAGGAAGGAGCAAACATCAACAAATCTCTGACCACGTTGGGAAAAGTGATATCAGCGCTGGCAGAAATGGTACATTAATGTTTATTAAAACAATTAAAATCATTTAATTGTTTTAAATGATTTTAATTTAAAATCTGACATTCAGACAGTTTAATCACATTGTTTATTAAAACATTTAAAATCATTTTAATGTGGAAAACTGACAGCTTCCTGTTTGTCTGCAGCAAAGCAACAAGAAGAGGAAAAGTGACTTTATCCCCTACAGAGACTCTGTTCTCACCTGGCTGCTGAAGGAGAATCTGGGTGAGGGTCAAAGGTCGTCATCTATAGTCAATTAATTTAATTGATTACATCAGAATCGCTGGCAGAGACATTCAGACAGTTTAATCACATCATCAGGAGATCCTGTTTATTAATCCTGTTAATATTCATGAATCTAATGAATAACTAATAATACGAATCAATAACAGATTTATTAGTAACATCCCTAAACGGGAGGCTTTTACTGTGAAACAGCTTGTTGATTTCCTGTCGGATCCAGTCGATCCGGTCGGCGTGAGGACGACCAGTGATGGTTTCATCATTTATAAAGTTTCACTTGTTTCTCAGGAGGAAACTCCCGGACGGCCATGATCGCTGCTTTAAGTCCTGCTGACATCAACTACGAGGAAACACTGAGCACCCTGAGGTCAGAACCCCTCAGATTACCCCGACCCGGTCCGGTCCGGTCCGTCCCGCTCAGACCGGTCCGTATGCTTCCAGGTACGCCGACCGGGCCAAGCAAATCCGCTGCAACGCCATCATCAACGAGGATCCCAACGCCAAGCTGATCCGGGAGCTGAAGGCCGAAGTGGACCGGCTGAGGAACCTGCTGTTCTCCCAGGGCCTGCAGGAGCTGCTGCAGAACACCGGTACCGGACCCGACCGGACTGGACCTGACTGGACCGGACCTGACTGGACTGGACTGGAAAACCGGACCGGATCCGACCGGCGCCACATGACAACATGGAAACATTCTCATTAATTCACCCTGAATACATATAAAATATCATGAACTCGTGAACTCAGCGGTTTCAGCCTGCTTACAGGAGCTCAGGGTTTCGGCTGTTTCTCAGTTCTCTGGAAGTTGGTTCCAGATTTGAGGTGCATAGAAGCTGAAAGCTGCTTCTCTGGAAAACTGGGATTTAAAATGTTAGGAGTTTGGAAAAGAATATGTATGTAGTGGCCTCACCACTTAAATTTAAACCTTTGTTTTTTAAAAAAAAGCCATAAATCACCAGCCGATCTGGAAACTTGGGTTTGGAAAAGTAATTTAGGATTTCATGAAAGTGGGTGGGAGGAAGTTGGTTTCCATGGTAACAGCCTTGCTCAGACAGGAAGTGACCTGGGTTGGTCTCATGTTTTCATCAGCGTCTCTAGGAACCAGTTTATAGTTTGATCTGCTAATTTAATGGCATCCAGCCATAACTGATCATCTACAGTATCAATAACAAATCAATCAATCAATCAGTAGGTTTCAGACTGTCCCTTTAAGTCCAGGTCAGTCAGTAACGTCTGGATTTATGGAATATTCTAGATGCTGTGCAGCTGATTGTGTTTGTAAGTGAGAGCAGAGAGAGTTATTTTCAGACAGCAGCTGTGTGTGTGTGTGTGTGTGTGTGTGTGTGTGTGTGTGTGTGTGTGTGTGTGTGTGTGTGTGTGTTGCTGACATTCCCGCCTGTTAGCGGTGAAACCTGACCCCTGTTCTCTCCTACAGTCAACAACAACATCAGCCTGGGGGGGGCAGCAGTTGTGGCCGCCGCCCCCCCGCCGCTGACGCCGACAGCCAATGGGATCGCAGCTGCAGCAGACTCCGCCCCTGCAGGTGCCTCACCTCACTGCTTCATTTTCCTGCTAAAGCTCGTAGGAAGTGACTGAATGAATCTTGACTTCATGTTGGATCCAGATTCTGTTTCTGCTGAAGCTGAAGCTCCACCTGCAGGAGACACACCTGCTGACTCCGCCCACCCCACCCAGAACGGGCAGGACGCAGAGGAGGCGGTCGCTACGGAAACCATCAGCAAGGAGGAAGCGGCTGAGAGGCTGATGGTGGGACGTAACCAGATTATTTAATCTGGAGCTCAGAGATTAACGGATCGCTGACGGATTCTGGTTTCTGTTCAGGAAACGGAGAAAATCATCGCAGAGCTGAACGAGACGTGGGAGGAGAAGCTGAGGAAGACCGAGTCCATCCGCCTGGAGAGGTACCGCCGCCACGGTTCACCCTGTCATTACGGTTCACCCTGTCACCACGGTTCAACATGGTTCACCCTCTCATCCCGGTTCATCCTGTCACCACGGTTCACCCTCTCATCCCGGTTCACCCTCTCATCCCGGTTCATCCTGTCAACACGGTTCACCCTCTCATCCCGGTTCACCCTCTCATCCCGGTTCACCCTGTCACCACGGTTCACCCTGTCATCGGTCTGTGTGTCTCAGGGAGTCTCTGCTGGCGGAGATGGGCGTGTCCATAAAGGAGGACGGAGGAACTCTGGGAGTTTTCTCCCCTAAAGGAGTGAGTTCACCCTCTAACGTTCATTCATTCATAATTCATGCTGTTGTTCCAGATTGTTGCTGGGTTTCATCATCCTGTTAGTTTTACTGGTGTTACTGGTGACATTCAGGTCATACTGGGATCCCTGTGGGGAGCATCAGTACCTCCAGTTTGGACCAGAACTTTCTGCTGAGTGTTTCCTTCAGTGATGTTTCTGCCAAAGCGCTAACAGAGGAGCTAACGCTCCGTTAGCGCTAAGCTAACTTTGAAACCTTTAGCGCTCTTAGCCCGACTTAAATATGTTTTGTCCAGATAAATCCTAAATCTTTCATTTGTTTGGATGATTTTAAATGTTCTGAAGTTTTAGTTTGACTGTTAAAAGTTCTTCAAGACGTGAGACGTTTTTATTCATGCTCTTATTTTGAAGTCTGTTCATGCAGCAGTTCCATTTCCTGTCCTGATGGTTTTCAAAGAATCCTTACTGGGTTGAAGGTTCTGGAAAACCGTTCAGCTCCTCAGGAACAGGAAATAAGGTTCCAATATATATTGGACCCAGTTAAACCGACTGGACCGGACTGTCAGGCCTTACAGAACCACAGGAGAAAGGTTTTGTTTTGGTTCTGCTTAGGTTCTGCTTAGGTTCTGTTTAGGTTCTGCTTAGGTTCTGTTTTGGTTCTGTTTAGGTTCTGTTTTGGTTCTGTTTAGGTTCTGTTTTGGTTCTGTTTTGGTTCTGTTTTGGTTCTGTTTAGGTTCTGTTTTGGTTCTGTTTAGGTTCTGCTTAGGTTCTGTTTTGGTTCTGTTTAGGTTCTGTTTTGGTTCTGTTTTGGTTCTGTTTAGGTTCTATGTAGGTTCTGTTTTGGTTCTGTTTTGGTTCCATTTAGGTTCTGTTTTGGTTCCATTTTGGTTCTGTTTTGGTTCTGTTTAGGTTCTGTTTAGGTTCTATGTAGGTTCTGTTTAGGTTCTGTTTTGGTTCTGTTTAGGTTCTGTTTTGGTTCTGTTTAGGTTCTGTAACATGAAGTCCTGCTCCAGAATGCATTGACGACCCAAACAGTCGGTTCTGTTGTGTCTAAACGGAGTCAGCTGAGTTCAGTTTCTGCTTCCTGTCTGGGCCAACGCGGCCATGTGACGTTAAAAATGGCCGCCAGGCTGACTCCAGGTCAAAGGTCACCGGTCAGCCGTTGGGTTGTTTCTGTTCCAGACGCCTCACCTGGTGAACCTGAACGAAGACCCGCTGATGTCCGAGTGTCTGCTCTACTACATCAAGGAAGGATTCACCAGGTCAGATGGAGGTCAAGCAGGGTCAGGACGTCTCAGAGGACATCTTGGTCCTCACTGTTGTCTCTGTGTCTCAGGGTTGGACAGCAGGACGTGGACATCAAGCTGTCTGGACAATTCATTAAAGAAATCCACTGTGTGTTTGTCAGCGAGACCAACGACCAGGGAGAAGGTCAGACACCGTCTGTCTGCATGTCCCCCTGTCTCACTGTCTGTCTCTGTGTTTGTCTCAAACCGGATCCTGATTGGCCGGTTTCTCTCTGGATCAGTACTAACAGCTCTTTCTGTGTCAGAGCACCCTCTGCTGGTCGAACGCTCTCAGTGTTTATCTGAATCCTTCATGAACTCCAGAGTTTCCTCCCTTCCTCGTGTTATTCTAGGTTTATGTTCTAAAAGGCAGTAGGTGATTCAGAGGACGGTGCAGCTGAGCCTCCATCATGGCCGCTAAGCTCCGCCTCCCAGTAATCAGCTGATTAACCTGGATTTGGTTCTGTTGGGTCTGAATCAGGCTGACGCTGCGGTTCTCTGTTCACTGACTCTCTCTTCTTCTCTCTCTGAAAAAGCTGCCAGGAAGTCTGTCAGGTATCGTCTCTTTACGATCATGTGACCTCTGACCCCTTCATCCCTCCCTCCTCTTCCTCCCTGCTGCTGCAGTTTAGCCTCATCTGGCTGAACTGCAGATGAGAAAATCAGAAGGTTTTCCTCATCTGAGGTTTCAGCCAGAATCTCTCCAGACTCTAATCTCTTAGATTATTATTATTATTATTATTATTATTATTGGCTCAGTTTTGCTGAAATGCTGCAGAGTGTTAGAAACCCTCCTCACTGTTGGCGTCAGGTCTGGTGGGATGAAACGTTTCGTCCCACCAGATGTGGCGCGTTGTGATGAACACATGAACCCAGCTCTCCTCCTCCTGTCTGCAGTGGTGGTCACTCTGGAGCCGTTGGTGGGAGCAGAGACGTATGTGAACGGGAAGCAGATCACCGAGGCGGTCGTCCTGAGACAAGGTCAGAGCTTCAACCCGGAGCCTCCATTCACCAGCCAGGCTGTGGTTTCACTGCCTTTAACCATCGCTCACAAAGACTATATCCATCCTGAGTGCAGCTATTGATCTGATTAATGATTAATGATTAAGGACAGGCCGGCACCGAGAACTGACAGGAAGGCTACTGACTGGTGCTAGCTAGCTGCTAACTTATAACAATAAATGACCTGTATACTTTATCTAGTCCAGAGGACCCCAAACTCCTTCACACTACAGTCATTCACCCATTCACATGCACCAGTCACTCGCTCATCCAAGCCTAGGCTAACGCTAGGCTAACCTTAGCCCATCTGTGCTAATGGCAGCAGAGGGAGAAGGTGATGCAGTGACCGCTGCCGGCCAATCATTCATCAGTCTTAATACTGCATCATATCAGCATCAGTTTCATCAGACGCCTGTTTCTGTACGCTTCCTGTGTGTCTGCGTTGCTAGGTAACCGCATCGTGATGGGGAAGAACCACGTGTTCAGGTTCAACCACCCGGAGCAGGCGAGGCTGGAGAGGGAGCGCAGCGTCACGGCTGAGCAGCAGGGGGAGCCAGAGGACTGGAACTACGCCCAGAAGGAGCTGCTGGAGAAGCAGGGCATCGACATCAAGCTGGAGATGGAGAAGAGGTAGGAGGAGGAGGAGGAGGAGGAGGAGGAGGAGGAGGAGGAGGAGGAGGAGGAACGATTTGGGCTAAGTAGAGAGGGAGCTGGGAGAACTGAGTGCCTGGTGTGCTGCAGACTGCAGGACGTGGAGACCCAGTACCGCAAGGAGAAGGAGGAGGCCGACCTGCTGCTGGAGCAGCACAGACTGGTGGGTTCCTGTCAGCCTGCCCGCTGGCCACCAGCCGGTCCGGTCCAGAGGTTAACCCTGTGGTTCTGGTTCAGTACGCAGACAGCGACAGCGGAGACGACTCCGACAAACGGTCCTGTGAGGAGAGCTGGAGGCTGATCTCCTCCCTGAGGGAGAAACTTCCTGCCAACAAGGTGGGAGCCTCATTCAGCCATTCAGACACTGCTCTGCTTCATCCAGAACCACGTCTGAATGGAGCAGCGTGAGCGACCCGGTTCTGGCTGCATCCGGGTGGCAGAAGGGTTGGAAAGAAACTCTGTACTGATCCGATCGGGTGGAACGGCTGATGAGCCCTAAAGGCCCCGACAGCCTTCACCTGAAGCTTCAGTTCAGACGAAGCTTCATCGCCGTCGTGTGGCTGTGTCCAGGTGCAGACCATCGTGAAGCGCTGTGGCCTCCCCAGCAGCGGGAAGCGGCGGGAGCCCCTCCGGGTCTACCAGATCCCCCAGAGGAGGCGGATCAGCAAAGACCCCAAGCGGGTCACCATGGAGGACCTGAGGATGCAGGCCGTCAAGGAGATCTGCTACGAGGTCTGCGCCGCGCCACACCGCGTCGTCTCCTCCTGCTCCTCGACAAACACGTTTCACCTGTTCTGTGTGCGGCGCCCCCCGCAGGTGGCTCTGGGAGACTTCCGCCACTCGCGTCAGGAGATCGAGGCGCTGTCCATCGTCAAGATGAAGGAGCTCTGCCGCATGTACGCCAAGAAGGACTCCAACGAGAAGGAGAGCTGGAAGGCCGTGGCCCAGGACGTCTGCGACACGGTGGGCATCGGAGAGGAGCGCAGCCCCCCCACCGAGGAGGGCGGCGGCGGAGAGACGAGCGAGGGAGGGCAGAAGGGAAAGGTGTACGACCTGAAGGCTCACATCGACAAGCTGACGGACATCCTGGAGGTAGGTGATCCCCGCCGCCTCCTCGGCCTCCTGCTGGGTGGGAGGAGCTGACGGAGGAGTGTCTGGGTCTCCTGCAGGAGGTGAAGCTGCAGAACAACATGAAGGACGAGGAGATCAAAGCCCTGAGAGACAGGATGATCAAGATGGAGAGCATCATACCTGTCCAGGTGAGTTCCCACGCTCTAAGGTAACGGGCCCACACTGCGTTCCCCAAGGGCCACTCCAACCTTCACATGGGTCCCTTCTCCTCCACTCTGGAGCTAACCGGCTAACTGGCTAACCAGCTAACGGGTAACTGGCTAATGGCTAACCAGCTAAACGGTTAACCAGCTAACTGGCTAAACAACTAACTGGCTAAACAGCTAACTGGATAATGGCTAACCAGCTAAACGGCTAACCAGCTAACGGATAACTGGCTAATGGCTAACCAGCTAAACAGTTAACCAGCTAACTTGCTAAACAGCTAACTGGCTAACCAGCTAACGGGTAACTGGCTAATGGCTAACCATCTAAACGGTTAACCAGCTAACTGGCTAACCAGCCTCACTGCAGCAGTGCAGCTCTACAGAGCTCTGCTCCTGGAGCGGGTAGCAGAGCTACCATATCTATGCTAACAGGTGAAGCACAGAGAAAGTCTCAGGAGACCTTTGAGCCCTTGAGGATCGGAGTAGGAGACCCCTGATCTCAGGTGTTTGTCGGCATCCTGGCCCAACTCTCACCGGTCCGACTCGTTTCCAGGACGACGACATGAACGGAGAAGGAGTCGAGTCGGCGCAGAGGGAGGGAGGCGGCCTTGACGACACCAACGACCCGCCAGAGGTCAGAGTTCAGCGCCTCATGGACGAGGACCCGGCGTTCAGGAGAGGGCGCCTCCGCTGGCTGAAGCAGGAACAGCAGCGCATCCAGAACCTGCAGAAGCAGAACATCACCAAGAAACTGCGAGGACAGAACCAGAACCCAGGTTGGTGAGGGAGGGGGTTTGGATTGGATGGGCTAGCTGCTCGCTAGCGTTAGCTTTCTAGGCTAGTCACCCACTGGCCATTAGCAGAGATGTGCTAGCATTGAATGAGCTAGCTTGGATTTGGAAAGGGGAGCAGCACCAAACTATTCACACCCTCAAGGTTTCACAGATTTACTGAAGACAAAACCTTCATGTGTGAAACAGCAGAAGGAGAACCATCGACATTTATACAAGTTAACATCTGAAAACAAACGAGCATATTCATGGGATAGACTGGCCTAGTCAAAGTCCAGACCTAAGACCAGATTAGAATGTTTAATAACAGCTGCTCTAAACTGAATCTGAGCGCCAACTATTTCAGAACGAAGGAGCGGGCAAAAGTTTCCAAATGGAGACAAATATACGCCACACTTTTCAGATTTCTGTCTGAGGTCACAGTGAGGTCATATTAAGGTCACAGTGAGGTCATATTAAGGTCACAGTGAGCTCACAGAGGTCACGCTGTGTGTCTCCGCCCCCTGCAGGTCAGCTGACCCCCACCATCCCCGTCCATCTTCCCGGTACCGGCCGCTTCATCCCCCCCCAGGAGTGCAAGCTGAAGTTCCCCTTTAAGAGCAACCCGGCCCACCGGTTGTCATGGGGACCGGCCAGCGAGGCGCTGCAGGCTCTGGGTCTGGGCGGCGAGGGCGGGGGGGCAGAGGAAGACGGTGGGGGGGGCCAGGAGAACGACGGGGGCTCCCCCACGCCGCCCCCGCTCCTCCCCCTCCCTTTCCCTACACCCCCCCCACGCATGCGCACGCCCAGCCCTCACCGCGCCTGGCAACAGCGTAACCAAGGCAACCAGGGCGGCTTCCACCACAACCAGCCGGGCAACAACCAGAACTACCAGCGGCGACAACGCCGCGGCTCCCTGGATGGCTCCGCCCACGGCGGTGAGCAGGGCGGGGGTGGGGGCGGGGGCGGCGGCGGTCACCAGGGGCGACCGCGGCAGCGCAGGGCGGCGTCGCCCGGCGGGGAGCGAGGGGGCCGGCCGGGGCCCCGGGGCGGCAGCAGGGACAGAGAGGGGGGCTTCTACTACAACCAGCGGCAGCACCATCAGTTCCACCCACACCCGTACTACAACTCCCAGAATGCACCATTCCAGCCTCAGCCCAACTACCACAGCCTGCCGCGCTCCGGCCCCCTGCCCCTCCACCCCGACATGCTGCTGGGGGCGGGGCCTCCGCCCGCCGGATGGGGCTTCAGCACGCCGCCCAGGATGAGGCGGCAGTTCAGCGCCCCCGACCTGAAGAACAAGGAGAACGTCATGTGACCCCGCGCAGGCCTCTGATTGGCTGCGGATCCTCATGCTGTAGAGAACAGACCGAGCGTGTGTGTGTGTGTGTGTGTGTGTGTGTGTGTGTGTTTCAGCACCTTTATGAAACAAAGTGTCTGAGGTCACGTCTGTCCTGCTGTTTGGGTTTTAACCGTCGCTCATGTCGGGTTTTATCTTAACCTCAGCCGTTGCCTAGGCAACAGGATCCATGTCTCATAACCGCTGGTTTAGTCTGATCAAGTTCTGGTTCTGGTCCGGTAGACGGTTCAGTTCACAGGCAGAAGAACTGAAATGTTAGAGCTGAACTCCCTGGAGCTTTTTCCCATCATGCAGTTCAAAATGTTCAGTTTTCCCAAAGCGTTCGTCCTGACGGCGTTTCTGCTCTGATGCGCTACATGAAGAGCTGGCGCCTCATTCGATTTTTCCCATTTCACCTGAACGCTGCGTAGCCAACAGCTGCAAACCAAAGAAAGCCGCTCTGTGGCGACCCCTGCAGGTCCCCAGAGGGCATGACGTGTGCAGGAAGTGTTTGTTTTCGGAGAGGAGCACGTTGGGCGTTACTGAGCTGTGTGTATATCTGAAGTTTATCTTTCTGTTTTTATTTGTTTTTAATGGAGATGAATTTTAAAAGGAATGAAATGTGCTGACGGTGCGTTCAATGTCACAGGCAATCATGGGAAACGAGAGAATAAAGTCTGAGTTTGGGAGAGAGGAGGAAGGACTGGGGTTCATGTAGGGTTAGCAGGAGGGGATTCTGGGAGATGTAGTGAGATACAGAAGGCAGTGGAGGTTTGATGAATGTCTGTTAAATATGTGGAGGTTAAATCCACTCGCAGCAAAGTATTCTGGGAGAGGAGCACCAAAGTGTTTGAACGAACCAATAGGAGCGCTCCTTACTGCATCGAGACGACAAAACAAAACGTTCTGGTTGGTCCAAACAGTTCCCGCCACGGAACCAACCAATCACAGGACAATCCTGAAACCTGCTTCTGCCTCCGGGCCTGATGGGAAACGTAGTTTCCTCTTTCTGCTTTTTAAACGTTTATTTCCAGTTTGAGCCTCTGATTGGCTGTTTTATTTTGTGTAGTCATTTGCTTTTTGTGCTGCGTATCTTAGCCCCGCCCACATCCTCGGCCATGAGTGATGATGTCATCATCTGTCATGGTTATGATTATTATGTCATGATTAATGTTTGGTTGTTGGGATGCTGCTACAGGAGCTCCGCCCTGTATCTTCTGCTCTGTGTGTGTGTGTGTCTGTCTCTGTGTGTGTGTGTGTGTGTGTGTCTCTGTGTCTCTGTGTGTGTGTGTCTCTGTGTGTCTCTGTGTGTGTGTCTCTCTGTGTGTCTCTGTGTGTCTCTGTGTGTGTGTCTCTGTGTGTCTCTGTGTGTCTCTGTGTGTCTGTGTGTGTCTCTGTGTGTGTGTCTCTGTGTGTGTCTGTGTGTCTCTGTGTGTCTCTCTGTGTGTCTCTGTGTGTCTCTCTGTGTGTCTCTCTGTGTGTCTGTGTGTGTGTCTCTCTGTGTGTCTCTGTGTGTCTCTCTGTGTGTCTCTCTGTGTGTCTGTGTGTGTGTCTCTCTGTGT